AAATTTAACGTTTGTAAAAGTGAAAATTGTATTTTAACACAAAGAAATTCATATATTTTGACGAATAATGCCCAATATTTGAAATCCCTCTTAATATACCTAATCAGGTCGAAAAAATCGAGCATAAAATTAGATCATTATTTAAAAAAACAGAAAAATTAATGTTTACTGTAATACTGTAATTGTCGTTTAAATTATTGCGAATTTGATATACAAACAAAATTACATATGAACCGCTTCATAGGAATGGTAAGATGATAGTCGGTTTGAAAGCGATACGGGAGCGGACTGTAACAGGACTGTGTGGCACAAAGAACGAGATACGCTGTGCATTAATCGCCGTAGAATTTTAAGGGCGACATAACAATCACTCAATTAGCTGTTAACAGCGCATTTGATGTTCATTCAATAAAAAAAATTCCAAATTCTGTAAGTAGCCATTACCAAAAGTACAGTCGTGGTCAGAAGTAATGTCCTCCCTTAGAAACTGCAACTGTAGAAAAAGTACCAATGTGTCAGTTTCTCCGTGATTTAGTTCAATTTCATTTCAATCTTAGGCATTTTCCTCATGTTGAAAAGAAGCTCAAATCTCACAGGAGATCCGGTATATTAATTATGTGCTACACTTGAGATAATCGAGGGACATTACTTCTGACCAAAACCGTACATAAAAAGTCACCTGATCGAAGCAAATAGAATCTTTAACACAAAAGGTTAGCTACAAAACAATTTTTGTAAACATTAGAACCAGGTTAGAGAATCCTATCGGTCAGTTCGTAACAGTCGCCTGACTAATTGCCTGAAGAGGTAGCAGAAGTGATAAAAATCACTCTACTTTGATTATACACTGTATCCAAGATAAGGATGTCGATCAACTTTACTTTTTATATGATCCGTGAAAAAAGTACATACTGTATTGAATAGAGTTTTTTATTACGAATACAACAATATACGGTACACAAAAAAAGCAAAAGTTGGAAGCTGTTTACCATCCAAATACCGATTCTCTACCTTAACACTCCATCTTATAAGATTGATACCACTCCCATGCTTGTATCATCAAAAATCCCACGGGATATAGATTTTTCTCATTTGCAAGTCGATTATTAGAAGATTCCGTTTTCATAGTGGTTGATGTTTGTGAATTTTTCTTAATACGCAATTACTTTTACTTGACTTGTGTCTGCCTAAAAAGGGCTCTTTGTATTGGGTATTGTCATAAAGTAATTTTCTTGAAGCTACCGTCACGTTTATGCTTTTATAGTTCGCCGATTTGTACGAACAATTCGTTGTTGATCAAAATTTTGCTTTCGTTTAGTTAAACGTAAATTGCATTATTGGTTCTTATTAAGTATTAATTACGGTTTGTATAGTATAAAAGTATACGAGTGTTAAACGTTAGACATTGTTATCGCCATATTGCCAATATTGATGTGGCGCGCTATTCGCTATATTGTTTTTTTTGTGTTTTTATCTGTTAGCGATAAGGCAGAAAAGCGTCTTTCAGAGTTCGGAAAGGTTATTGGGATCTGTAGTTCAAAGATAATATTTCATTAATACAATTTGAAACAATCGAATCGAAAAATCTTTATCAAATGAACCTAATGAAAGTGTGCATTGCTATTTAAAAAAATTCAATTGTTTTTCGTTATTCATTTCTTTTCTGAAATAAAAACAATGGAATGCTTACTTATAATGGGAAATAAAATGTTAAACAACTTTCATATAGAAAAATTTTGTATACAGTCGATATTTACCGAGATATAGGTATACTATATTCCATACATAATGGGCACCCTGTATATAAATTGCTTAAATATTTAAATCTTATGACGTTTTTGTAATTTTCCTAACTGATTGAAATTTGTTGTAGGACTTTCCACAGTGTGGCAATAGTTATTTACCTAACAAGTTCGGTAAGTTAATTTTCCCGCATGAGCACTTTGTTTGCAGCACGACCGTAGGGAGTGCTGCATTTAGTGCGAATGCGGGAAAATTCTTTCCGAAAGAGTTAGGTACAATATTTTTTGTAACGAATTGCGTAAAAAAAGGTCAAAATTAATAAAGTTTTGTAAATTAGCTTTTTTTTAATCATGAGTTGGTAACACAATCATATGTTTGGTTGGTAACATAATTTTGTAACTACCCACTTTTAATAATGCACTGGTCACATTTAAAACTTCCACATCTTTGGTTAATACATATTTTGCCTTTGCAATGAGTGTTACTACTGGTCACGGCATTGCATCGTTTGCACTGAATATCTTGAGTTGCGTAAATACACTCGTTACATTTAAAATCCTTGGAAGCTTTGTGTGTGTTAATATGTGCTTTCTTAAACTGCATATGCGAATAGTTGCAGAATATCACTGGTCACATTTTAAGACGTTTTAACAATAAATTTTACTTTTTCTTGAGTTCCAATTCTGAAAAATAATTTGATTGCGTTATAAGTTCTTGTTTATATATTTACGTAAAACTTAGTGTAGGTACGTCTGTTTCCGATTAATCGCACTAAATACCCTCAACCAACGGTTTAATTGATTTTACAGCAGATGACAGTTAACCATGACATGACGTTCGTTGACTTCAATAAGTATTACCAACCGAAGAACGCGCATAACCCCTTCTCTCCAGCGGAAACTAAAAAACACCGCGATGCGGGAAAGTCGTTTTCCCGTGCATCGAGGATGCTTGGAAACATTATCTTTCCATTCAATGAGTACAAAAAGTACTTAGTATCTCCCGATTCAATATCCAGTGTTCACTTAAGCATATCATGTTAAAATTTTGATCACAAATAAAAGCTTCTAGTAGATCTAATTTGTTTGTTATACTTTGGATGTTAATGTGAAATACTTCTAATCTCTTTTTGGCATGAGTTTTTGAAGACGCCATAAAAAATGATTAACACAAGTACCCTTTGGCCATGTGGTTGGTGAAAGGAATAGCTCATTATCTTCTGGCTGGATAGAGATCTTAAATGAGGAGTAAGACTCAGGATATTTAGAAGGCATTTGTTGAATTACGGTAGGAGTGATGCTCTTATTCTTCATATGTTCCGAAATTTGTGGTATAGTTGTGTCGGGATGTAATCGTGACACATAATAAGTTATTGTTTTAGCGACACCCTTAATGGTAGAATCGCTGTCAGACGTTCCAGTAGTTAACGTTGGCCTTCTGTTTCGCCTACTTTTCGGCTTTTGCCACTCTCCAGTGTCGTTATCTGGGGTTTCAGTAGCCTTCAAGGCTACCTCAGGTTTGAAAGTTTTCACATCACTAGCATTGGTTGATAGAAGGTAGAAGGATACTTAATTGATTTACAATGAGGTAGCCTTTCCCTAAAGGTCCAAAGAGTTAGAGTGGAGTCCCTAGATCGGTGCAGAACAGCTGATGAAAAGCTGTGAAAGTGTTTCACCCACCAGACCACACGCCAACCACTCAGAAAAAGCTCATTCAAGCCCCAAGCACTAAGCACTTTGGATTTAAAAAGTTGTATCAAGCACCCAAGTCATGGTTAACCCGGAGTTTTAATACTTGGCGACAGCCACGCTCGTGACATGATGTTAAAATCAGTGTCAAATTATTCATTAATAGTAGTCGTGCTCGGGCAGTCGGTGGATTCAATAATGCGCTCAATGGAATCAATGCTTTGAAAAACAAATCGAATTCGGTAATGATGTCTACAGCCTTCATGAGGAACTATGTCAGTAGGGGTGTAAATAATATAATTTTTCATAATAAATGAAAATAAGTAATATGGTTAGTGATAAGAAATATATATTGACACAAACTGGGTATTATATGCGAGGAGTGGTTTACACCTACCTCTATAGCATGACTTTTAGACCAAATTCAAAACAGGGGTGTGTTGCCTACCAACAATAACTCGTACAAGAAGATTTAATACTGACAGGCTTCTTACGCTTGTAGTACGGAGCTAACCGAGTTCATTTACTAAATGGTACCCAATATTTTAGTATGGAATTGGTTGCAGAGACCAGCCTAGTTTGGTCCAACCAAAGTTGATCAACAATTGGACCAAAAGAAAATGGTTCACCACACACATTGAAAGTATACCAGGAACCATAACAAAATTTTCAGGTCACCTTTAAACCAACATCTTTTTGTCTCATTTTGATTAGTTGGTATTTCACTAAATAGCAACGTATATCTTACGCTACACGAAATTAAAATTTTAAATTTGTTTTAAATTTATTAATTTATTAATTAATGTAGACACTGCCGTAAGTTGGGTAGGGTATGCATTAGGAATGCCTCCAAATTACTTCAATTACTTTACTAATTCCAATAAGGCCAATACGTTATCACTTTTACATTAACAGTACGGAAATTAATACAGAACTTGCGTGTGCTTTCTTCTTTTACTTGTAACCATACTCTATTGTAATCTGTTTGACATATAAAATTAACCTAGAAATTAACTTACTTTTATTGATTGTGTAAATATTGAAAAAATACATACAAAATGGTCAAAGTTTAAAGAAAGATAGTGATCACAATTTCTCAAATAAGGCGCGCTAAAGTGAATGAGAAATCTGCTCAATTGAAGAGCAGATACTTATTAAGATGTACGGCTTAATACAAATAACTATAGAGCGACCCTAGTATATGATTTACTAGCTTTTTAAGAAGTATTGTTTTCCCTTTGTACGAAACTGTGTTCCAAGGCAATAGGTAGGAGCAAGTATTATATTAAGTAAAAAAAACCGAGAGAGAAATTACATATGGTAACGACATTGCATTGCATAGAAAGGAGCATGCTAGCGAAATTTTAAATACACTTTATTCAAAATAGCTTACATTTAATCTTCATTTAGTCGTCGATCGGGAAATGCAAAGTGCACCGCCTATTGCATACGGGGTTCAGGTTCTCCTTTCGATTCCACTTTATACGATAATCCATTCTTTTTGGAATGGAGTACTTACCTTTTGGAAAAGGAAAAACTGAATTTGGCAACGTTACAAAGATTTCCACCGACATCTAATAGTTTATATTGTTACTTAAGCATCTAACAGTAAGTATTGGGAAATGTTAATGTTGCTGACTTGCACTAAGAAGCAGGATTATAGCAGCACATGCAGGAAACAATCCTGCTTCCAAACTGTTGCGAACTTCTCGAACCTCTATCGCGTTGTAGTATTGTCGCGTTCCGTCGTGTTACTATTTGTTGTCGATAGCTTCGTTATATATTTGAATTAGCGTAGTAGTGGATTGATTTAATTAAAAAATATTCAAGAGAGTTTTATGCCCAAGCGATATTTCATTTAAAGGCGATTTCTTGTAACTTGTGAACACCGAGAGCTCAACATTTAGTAAAGCCCTTCGACTATGAGATGAATGATCATGTAACGATTTATACCATTAGGTATAACAAGTATTTCTATCCCTCTCGGGCAAAAGTCGGAATTTCGGAGGATCTCAAGGGATTGCTTCGGATTTCTTCTTTTATACGGATATGAACCATTATACTAACCCATTGATTATTGAACTAGAAATCAATCTAAATTTACTAAACATTTAGAACATCTCTCAGATTTTACATGCTATAACAGACAGAGGTTTATCAATTATATTGATTTATTGCTGTTGGTGATGTATTCTTTTCGTAGCTCTGTAACCAAGTTGCACTAAGTAACCAAGTAAAAAAAGCAGGTTAAGATACCTCTTTCGCAATTGATAGAAGAGTGTTCGCCATCACTTTTTCGGTTTGTTGCACTAGATTATAAAACACCCCCACTTTGTTTTGAAGTAGTACATAGGGATGGTCAAATTCAACTGCGACCCCTGCATCCACCACCAGTACTTTGTCGGAATCCATGATGGTGTTTAACCTATGTGCTATAGTTAGAACAGTGCATTTCGAAAATTTATCTCTAATAGTTTCCTGGATAATTATGTCAGTTTCAAGATCAACATTCGCTGTTGCCTCATCCAGAAGCAATATCCGGTTTTTTCGGAGAATAGCGCGCGCTAAACATATAAGCTGGCGTTGGCCTACACTGAAATTGGACCCATCCTGTGATATTTCCAGATTTAGACCTTCAACCTCTGTCATTTATCCCATTTAACCCAATTGAGAGATTAATACCTGAACTGAAATTATCGACAACCTCTTTAAGTCTGACCTCTTCTAGTGCACGCCACAGCGTTTCATCCTGATATTCGCTAAAAGGATCTAAGTTATACCTGAGGCTTCCAGAAAATAGTACTGGATCTTGGGGAATGACCGATATTTTCTTTCTTAAATAGCCCAAACTAACGTTTACAAGATTAATGTCGTCGATTACAATTGAACCCTCTATTTCGACAAATTGAAATATGGCGGACATTATCGAAGATTTTCCAGCACCCGTTCTACCAACGATACCAACTTTTTCCAACGGACGGATAATGAAATTCAAATCTTTCAAAGCGTAAGGTGCTGTTTCAGAGTATTTCAAGCTGACGCCGACAAATTTAATTTCCCCGCGAGTAGGCCAGTCTATTTCCGCATGGTCGCCGGATCGTTCTGTTTTAATTGTGTCATATTGAGATAATCGCTCGACTGATACCATAAAATTTTCCATTTCCGCGAATTGTCGCACTCCCCAAGCTAATTGGCCCATCATTTGCATTGCTTGAGATATAACTAATCCAATGTTAGCACCATGTGCATCTGAAAGAACGGGATGTAATTTCTTGGCTTTAAAGAACAATCTCATGAGTATACCTGAATTAAACGTATAGTGGAGTGTGAGCACCACAATATAAATGACAACTACTAGATCTGCCCAATATCCAAATGCTCTAGAAGTTGCTAACGCCATATATAACGAGCTAGTGTGTATATCTTGATGGTAGTAAAATTCGTTTGTCAATACATTTTTAACCCCAAATGCTCTTATGATGGGTAGACCTTGCAAAGAAGCATTTACGTGACTATAAACTGGTCCTCGCACTAAAACGATATTTGCTGATGTGGATAAATTTGTGGGTTATAGTATACATTGCCCTTCCACTCTCAACAGATTTAAAGCTGTAGTTAAATAAAATCGCCTTAAATAGTAAAGGGTGGCTACAACTAAAAGAGTTGGAATAAGAAACCAAGCGTTAACAAAACAAATCACTACAAAGACTCCTAAAATACTTAAGATCGTTCGCAAAACGACCATCACTGCCATAGGCAGCAGTTCATCAACGATTGCCAAATCTTTTGCAAAGCGGTTTAAAATTATTCCGGACGAGTTTGCATAGAAGAAGCTTACAGTAGCCCGAATGACGTTTTTAAACATTGTTTCGTGTAATGCTTTGGAAGATCTCTTGGCTAGCTTCATAGAATAAATGGATCTTAAAATTGTGAAAATAACAGAAGCGATTGCGATACTGCCGAATATGTAACTGTATCGTTGGTGATCAGTATCTTCAAATTGTCCCACATCTACCCTAAACATATTAGTAGTAGTAGTAGTAGTAGTAGTGGCATACGTTACCATTGCGCTAAAATGTAGTTGGTAGCACTTGCAGCTATTTGTGTGAGAGAAGAAAATAAAATGGCGAACACGAGTGTTACGTAATCTTTAGATGCTAAAAAGTAACGTTTATATGTGTCACATGAAATGAAGGAAGAGTCCTTTGTTTGTTCTTCAAATTGGGACTTTTCCTCTAAAGGTTTGGGATCTGTACCAATAGAGTTATCGGTTACCTCTAATTCTTCTTCTTCATTATTTTGTCCTAAGTATTTAATGAAAGTGAAACCCGAGCTCTCTAACTCATTCTTAGTCCCTTTGGCGGCTAATGATCCGTTATGCAATACCAATATGTAGTCAACGCGTTGTAAATACTGCAGTTGGTGTGTAACCAATACTACCGTTTTTCCTTTGAGAAAAACTTCAAAGCATTGCTCAAAGATTTGTTTACCGACGTGCGCATCTACCGCCGAAAGCGGGTCGTCTAATAAGTAGATATTTGCGTCCCTATAAATGGCTCGGGCAAGACTAACTCTGGCCTTCTGCCCACCACTTAGAGATGTCCCTTTTTCCCCAACCGTTGTTTTGTCACCATAAGGGAGAAGCTTTAGGTCACGTTCGAGAGCACAGCACTTAATCACGGCACTGTAGCGAGTTTCGTTCCATTCGCTACCAAATAGTATGTTCTGACGTACCGTCGATGGAAATATCCAAGGCTCTTGTGATGCATAACTGATACTTCCGTTGACCGACAAGAGTCCACTGGATATTGGCATTTCTCCCAGGATCATATTTAACAAACTAGTTTTCCCACTTCCAGTAGGACCAACTATAGCAGTCAGCTTTTCGGGCCATATTTCGACGTTCAAGTCTGTGAGCAAGTTATCTTTGGCATTTTGATCCCACTTTGATGCACCATGTTCGATTTTAAGTGCAACATTTTCTTTCGTCGAGGTTGCTACCACATCAACTTCATCACAAAGCAGAAACGCCGCAATACGGTCCAATGAAACCGACATTTCGCTTAAGAATATCATACCTTGTGGTAGTAGGTAACTTAAGGCCATAGCATTCGCGTATATTAACGGACTTGCAACAAAAACAGACTTCGGGTTTAATAAACTTCGATCTATAATTGCCAATGCTGTGATCGTTACGAACAGTGATAGTACATGAAACGTTCCAAAGGCTATGTAA